TTTCTTCCATGTTTCTCTTCTGTAGTTTTTTTTTTTTTTGGGATTTTTCAGAAATTCCTCTACCATTCTCTTCCATCTTTCTTCTGGGTTTCTTTTCATTTCGTCTAAATTGCTTCCGTAATTCTTTTGGGTTTTCTTTGGATAGTCTTCTATTATTCTTCTGGGGCTCCTCTGTACTTCTTAGTAATTCTTCTAGTGTAATTCTTCTGGCATCTTCTTGAAATTCTCTAATCGTTCTTCTGACATTCTTCAGGCATTCTTCCCGATTTCTTCTGTTTTTCTGCTAATTCTTCTGGTAGTTTTCCGAAATTGTTTACCATTAACCTGGCATTCTACTGGGTTTCTACTGGATTTCATTCTCCTGGCCATCTGCTGGGCCTAGTCAGGGTTTATTCTTCCGGCATTTTTCGAAAGCTCTTCTATCTTTCTACTGACAATCTTTCGACAATTCTCTGAAACTCTTAGAGAATTCTTAAAATTTCCTTAGGCATTCTTCGGGCATTCTTCGAGCACTTTTCCCCTACATTCATCCCTAATATTCTTTCAGATTTCTTCAGAAGTTTCTTTAGCTCTCTTGCGACATTCTTCTTATATTTGTGTAACATTCTTCCGTCGTTCTTCATACTAATCTCCTCTAGCAGTCTTCTCCCGCTGTCTATTATTTTGATCGTATTCCTCAGCAAATCTTCCTGCAATCTCCTGCGCTTCTTTCGGCAGGCAATCTGAATCATCTTTGGTAACTATTTCAAGTACTTTGCAATTAATGTTTTTCTTGCCAAATTGGAATACTTAAGCAGGCGGGCAATCAATTTGTGCCGCAATGGCTGGCTAATTTGCGATAATTAACTAAATGCCAAGCGGCACGTGCCGCCAAGTTCATCCAAATCCCATAAAGCAATCACATGCACTTGCACAACTATTAAAACTCCCAGCCGGACGGGCAACAGAATTTCAGTTTTTTTTCTTTTACTTATTTTTTATATGTTTTTTTTTTTTTCTTGTATTTTTTTTATGCCTGTGTGTTTGGGCGCTGTCAGGACCATTACGACTTGCTACATTTCCTTTTGCAACTTCTTCTTGGGGCACTCGCCGCTGCTTGGAGTGCCTGCCCCTGCCCCTGCCCCGGTCCCTGCCCTCCTTTTGGCAATTTTCCATATGCAACACGCAACAGACGTTTTTATGTTTTCTCTGCACACATAAAAAATAAACGAGCCAAACTGTGGATGGCCCATGGAACCGGCTGGCAGACCGGGCGACAAAGCCAGCTCAGGAAAATGGCAAAAACCAAAAAAAAAAACAAAAAACAAAAAAACACGAAACGTGTAACTGAGCGGACGAGCAGTCAAAAGAGTGGAAGTCAATTATCGAATTAATTTAGTTGCCACTGACCTGACTATAAGTGGGGCTTCTTTTGGATGCTCTGCTTTTCTTTTCTTTTTTTTTGTTTTTTGCGTAGCCCCAAACGCATCATAAATGTAAATGGGCTTAGGGCAACGTCAGCTGCCCGAATTGGAATTCAAATTGTTTTATTTAAATTTTGCTCGCTCTACTCGAGGGTTGATTGCACATTCTGCAATTAATTAAATTATTGCGCAAATGACATTTTTGCCGGCTGACGCGCCACGCATGCAACAGTCTGCATTCTGTTTCATTTTTTCAACACATACATACACGCGCGCGCGCGCGCGCCCTCGCTCGCGCGTCAATTTAATAAACACGATATCCTGCTCGAGGCCTGCAACTGCGGACCGTGCCTGGTCATGTAGTTGATGCGTTAATCCGCATATTGACAGCGGTTATTGCGGTGGCTTTGCCTGGAAATATGCCCAGCGGCCCAGGCGAGGGGGCCTGTATAGCAAGGGGGCTAGGTGGCAGCGTCCCCCTGTTGCTGATATTGCGCATTTATGGCCTTTTAAAAGGGATTTGCACACTGCATTTTGTACTCGCCGTGTGCTCGGGCTAAGTAATTTAATTACATTGCGGCGATAAAATTATTCCAATATGGTTTATTCCATGTAACTATGTGTGATTTTATTGGCTTTACATTTTGCCTACACGAGTTGCGTTGCACATTTTCGCTGTGCACCTGTAGCTAGATTATTACGCACTCTTTTTATACAAAAGCATGAAGATTGTTCCTTTTACATAGCATTAACATTACAGAAACGTTTGCTACAAAAGGGACATAAAAACCTAACTGTATTCTACTCAATAAATGTAAATATATACATATATGCAAGAGCACGCTTACCAATTTGAGTAAAGCACTGTTTTTTTATCTCTCTCTCTCTCTCTCTCTCTCTCTCTCTGTATGGAATTGCGCGCCAAATTTGCTCCTCGAAAAAAGTTTCACACCACACGCATTTGATTGATTTATAGATATAAACATAAAGGTAGCGCAGTGGTCAGCATAGAAACACAAATAACACCAGCCAGGCACATTATAAGACCTAAGAAATAATTAAGCTCTGTTAGCAAATGACTTTATGCACACGCACAATGAACTCAACCGATCGACAGGACAGACGCCCACTGACTAAATTGCCTCATTAGGCTAAGGCTACGCCTACGCTAAGCCGACGCTCACACTAATACAACAACAACTGTCAGAGCATACAACAATTAAAACTCCCACGCTTCACACCATTCGCAATGCGCTCTTCTTGTGGGAGAAAGATAACGAACGGGATCAAAAGCATTCTGCTCATTCATAATGTGCGCTCTCTGTTGTGTCTGCAATGAAATGGGATCAACGGTGAATGAATAAATTATCTTCTTTGCGCTCTCCGGATAATTGCGCTCTGCCAGTGCGTTTATATACGATATACAGCTTATCTGAGCTTAGAAAATTTACTGCTCATAAGATAAATAGAATGTGTATTATTTTAAGTTGCAGCCTGAAAGTAAATGCAGCAAATCAGCTGCCGCATTTGTAAGCGCTGCGCAATGTTGCATACTCTTGGGCAGCAGCGCAAAAAAAAATAATTCGATTACAATTATGTCAGAGGCGTTTGCGTTTTGCATTTGCATGTGCCACGGCTAAGGCAGTGTCAGCAGATGCGCAACAGTTGAGCACGACTGTGTGTACATGTGTGTGTGTGTGTGCAGCTGTGCTGTTGCGCGCACTATTTTTCAATTTATTACGCGCACATAACAAAACTTTATTGCTAAGCTTTAGCAGCTCCAGCTCCAGCTCCAGCTCCAGCTGCAACTTCAGTTCCAGCTCCCGTTCCAGTTCCTGCCTTGTGTATGCTGCTCCTGCATGTAACTGTTCAATGCTCATGGGGAATTTGCCAATGTGACGTGCCAATGTGTGCGTGCCAAGGAAAATTAGCCGAAACAGTGGCTGTTGCCGATGCCGCACCACGGTGGGTATCAGGTGCTTTGGGCTTTGTTAACGGATTTATGCGGCAATCATAAAACTTGCCAACTAACCGGCTAGAAATGTCGCGCAAGCCAAATTGATTTATGTATGTGTGGCAACAACAATAAGAGGCAACAATCGAACGAGTAAAGCAAATACCCAACCTGCTGGCTGTCAAGCGCGTATTAGCCAAGTTAACAGGCTAGAAAACTTTTAATTTACCAAATGTACTTTTGGCCAACTTGATCATTTCAATACGCACATAAACAACGCCGCCCAACTCTCAAGTACCCAAAAAAAAAAGATGTGATAAAAGAAAGCGAGAGAGAGAGAGAGAGAGAGCGCATGATGGCGGTGTTGGAAAAGTTGCAATTTAATGCCAAGGCAAACGTAAAAACGGCAAAATTATGACCAAAATGAGAATTTAATCGAAATACGTGAGCGGAAAAATGAAAATTTGACTGCAACTTGGGAACGTCTGCAGCAACGGGCCAAGTGCTGCTGCTGCAGCCGCCCAGCATAAAATGCCAAGTGCAAGCTCATGCAATTTTTATCATGGCCACAAAAGCAAACGTAGACGCAACTGCGGCTCTCCTTCCTATATGCTGCCACACCCATCCACAGCCCCGCCCATCATCAGCTGAGGCTGCCTCCTGCAGCGTGTGCGTTACCTTGAGTGAACAGTCGAGGCAATTGCACAAATTAATGCCACCGGGCGCTGACTGTTGCTTTTTGCTGCTGCTCTGCCGCAGCTCAGCTGGCGTCTCGCTGCGGCACGTTCCTCATGCACTGCCCCGGCCAAGAGACGAACGGACAGACAATTCTCAAATGAGTCAACAGCACTAAAATTGTTTATTTTATTATCCAGGCAATACTTTGAGCGCAGCAAGTGGTTCGTACTTATCTGGGAGACTGTGACAGCAGCCGGCAGCAAGTCTGTAAAGAATATTTACTATGGATTTGCTAGACAGGCACAACAATTTTGCCCGTCCACTAAATTGTAACAGAAACTCAAAAAGTATTTTAGCACAAAAAAAAAAATAATAATAATAATTATTATTAGAGCTACAAATTTGCCTTGCCATTAAATTGTAAATATATATTAAATGCCAACTCGACTTAAAATATTATTTTCAATTAATTTAGCTCAAAAAATTATAATAATAATATTTATAGAGCTACAAATTTGCCTTGCCATTAAATTATAAATGTATTTTTAATGGCAACTCGACTTAAAATATTTTCAATTATTTTAGCTCAAAAAATAATAATAATAATTATTATTAGAGCCAAAAATTTGCCTTGCCATAGTAAATATATTTTTAATGCCAAAGCGACTTTAAATAATATTTTAAATTATTTTAGCTTCAAAAAATAATAATAATAATATTTATTAGAGCTACAAATTTGCTTGTCATAGTAAATATATTTTTAATGCCAAATCGACTTTAAATAATATTTTAAATTATTTTAGCTCAAAAAATAATAATAATAATATTTATTAGAGCTACAAATTTGCCTTGCCATAGTAAATGTATTTTTAATGCCAAATCGACTTTAAATAATATTTTAAATTATTTTAGCTCAAAAAATAATAATAATAATATTTATTAGAGCTAAAAATTTGCCTTGCCATAGTTAATGTATTTTTAATGCCAACTCGACTTTAAATATTTTCAATTATTTTAGCTCAAAAGAAGTGCAAAATGATATTTCAATAATTTCCAATACTTATTCGCCTGATCTGGCAACGCCGTTCGTTTGCTTGACCAACTTTAAGAGTCGCCCAAAAGAGCCCAAGCCGCAGCTGGCGATCGAGCCGCTAGTCACGTCACGTCACCTTCCCGGTATAAAACCAAATGCGGAGCAGCTAATGCAATCAGTCGCCAGTCGCCAGTTGAAGAGCCAACAACAAGTGTGTACGCAAAACAGTCTAAAGAAGAAGAAGAGTAAGAAGAAGAGGAAGAGCAACCGTGAAAAGTGTTCGAACCGTAGCCAAAATATGTTTGCCCCAAGCCAATTGAGATTAATCGAAGGAGCATTGCTTGTGCTGCTCGTGCTGTTGCTGGCCGGCAGCGAGTCGCGTCCCATGGATCTGTACGATGATGTTAGCGATTTCTTTGATGCCATCTCGTTGGACGATGTGGCCAATACCGGTCGCAATACGCATCCGGAACAGTTCTGCATGATGCCGGCACGCAAGGGCGTCTGTCGGGCCCTAATACCGCGTTGGCGCTACGATCCGGAGCAGAAAAAGTGTGTGGAATTCAAGTTCGGTGGCTGCGATGGCAACGAGAACAATTTCCCCAGCTACAAGACCTGCATGGCCACCTGTGAGGGCATGTAGGAGAGAGAGCTGAGGGAGCTGAGGGAAGGGAAGGAGTAATCTGCTGATCGACCGTATCCGATCGGCTGGCGTTGCCAAAGGCGCATGCTTTTTTTTCGTCCTCTGTCAAGTAGCGAATCAAGGGCAGCATTTACTTATAGAACACACACTCGCACACACACACACCTGCACACACTCGCACACCCATTAAGCAACTGTCCTTCAATAATTGTCTTTAATATTTATACAGTTTCCTTAAAATTTTTAAGTAAATTCATGCATCATTCCTTCAGACAAAACCCATTGTAATTGTAAACAAAAAAAAAGGTGTCTAACACTTTTCTAGCTCTTAGGTTATTGTGATAAATATTCATGATGAAATAAAGTATAAAAGAGGAAAACTCAAAAATATATAAAAATTCGTTTTGTTATTTTGTTAAATATGTTTCTAAGCTGTTTGAACAAAAGCAATTTGAGTTGAGCTATAAAAGCATAAAGTAAATTTCAAATTTATTAAAAATTAAAAAGGGCAACACAAATGCTTAAAAATGCCGAAAAAAAAAGGCTTCAAAAACAGTCCAGACTTCATCTGGAAGCACTTTATAGCAGAAGAAAATAGCCAAGCCTTCCTCAAGAAATATTTAATAGACAGAATTTATCTGAATTTATTTTATAGTACATAAAAATAGAGAGCTTTTCTTGGAGCAGTTTATAGTAGAAAAAAGAGTCGAGAATTAATCTGAAATTATTTTTATAGTACAAGACTTTTTCTTGGAGTTTAATATAGAAGAAGAAAAGGTGACACAAACAAGAATATTTTATGGCATAAAAAGACAGACTTATTTTTCAAGCATTTTATAGTAGAAGTAAGACAGGAACTCAGTCTCAGTCTTGAAGCAATTTTTGTAAGAATAAAAATAGGACACATTTTGATATTTTTATAGTTGAAAAAAAGAAACAGTCAAGAATTACTCTTGAATTATTTTATAGCAGAAGGAAAAGAGACATAGCCAAGTCTTCATATTGAAGGATAGTAGAAACAAAATAAATACAGCAAAAACTTTATCTTGGAGTAATTTATAGTAGAACAAAACAGACATCTTGAATTTTTTTATAGCAGCAAAGAGAGAACCAGAACTACGTCTTGGAATGTTTTATAGCAAAAGAGGCGACTCAACCAAGTTATATTATTGTGTAGAAAATATTGTCTTCACATTGGAGGATAATAGATACAGCAAAGACTATCTCAGATAGTTTATGGTACAAAATAAGAGATTTAAGTATTTTATAGTAGAAAAAGGAACTATTTTATAGCAGAAGAACTAGAGACACAAACAAGTTTCCATATTAGAGGATAATGCATACAGCAAAGATTTTATCTTGGATAATTTATGGTAAAAAATTAGAGATTTAAGTATTTTATAGTAGAAAAGGGAAGTATTTTATCATGAATAATTTATAGTACAAAATAAGAGAAGGAAGTATTTTTTAGTAGAAAAGGGAAGTATTTTATAGCCGAAGTACAAGAGGAACAAACAAGTTTTCATATAAGAAGACTTTATCTTGGAGTTATTTATAGTATTATACAAAAAAAAAACTTCATTTTAAAGTATTTTATAGTAGAAAAGGAAGAAGCAAGTCTTCGTTTTGGATTGTTTTATAGCAGAAGCAAAAGCGACATGTACATAAACAAGACTTCATATTGGATTGGCTTAAGGCAGTTAATCGAGTTAATCGATCGAAGCATTTTAGAATTTTCTAGCATTCGAATTTTCTAGCAAACAAAACCAGTTGCAATTTCCGCTAAAAATCAGCAAATCTAGCTAAAGTCTAAACATATTCAAAGCTAGCTTGAGCCGAGCTCTGTGAAGATCATAAACAAAGCTTACATACTTTAAAAAAAATATATATATAAAATAAGCTATTGATTCATTTCTAGGCTGGCCCCTCGGCTAGACAAAAAAATATATTAGAGACCAGTCTCAGTGCAACTTTCATAGATTTCACTTGGAAATGGCCCAAGTCGCCTGGCTTCGAGTTATTTCTCATGCGAATGCTCGCAAAAAAAAAAAAATACAAAATTATTACAAACAAACAAGCGACTCGTAAACAAACCAGATCAATAGCTGCAAAGGTCGCACAACAATGATGCTGATGCAGATGATGATGCTGATGATGATGATGATGATGATGATGAGTGGAGCACGTCAATGGATGCCTAGTTGGGTCTAGGTAAACCAGTACGAGACGTCAGACGTGAGATCATAATTTTGTGCTAGCCAAAGCGTCAGGCCCGGCCCCGGGCCGTAAATAAACATAAACAATTGAAAGGTGCGAATTTATGTTAAATCGATTGGCAATAAACATAATTTGTTTGTGTCTCAAACAAAGCCTTTCAAGCGAAACCGAAAGCGAGGGCAAACCGGAGAGCAGCAAACGGCTCTATCCAAGCCCTGGCTACGGGCCAAACAACTCATTTCAAGCCCAATCTGCGGGCCAGTTAGCCATATTTGTCTGTTTACATTATGTTTTGATCTTTTTTTTACAACTATTGGATCAATGACCTATAGATGACAGCTATAAGTTCAGTTACAGCTAACGGCACAGGGTTGAGCGAAATTCCCACTAAAATAACGGGTAAATAGCAAAATTGGCAGCACTGGCCCAGACACAAAGAACCGATGACGTCTTTGGATAATGCGCATATTGATAAAAACTGATTATTTTTAAAACAATTAAGCAAAATAAAGCTATATTTGATTTATTTTATATCTAATGAAAGATCAGCGGGAAACAAGACCTACGACAAGTGTTGAGTAACGTCTTGTTGGCTTATTTTATCTCAGTCACAAGAGTTATCCAACTTCATAGGCTGGCAGTCAAAAAGTACCCTTAGGGAACATTACTTCGACAAGTGTTGGATAACGCCTTGTTAGAAATTTACTTATGCGACTGAACTTAACGAACTTTTTACGCTGTCAGCAAGAGTTCCTTATTGGGGAAATATTACATTAGTGCTGGGCAACGAGTCGTTGGAGGATTCAACACAAGCGACTAAGCTCAACGAACATTTTAAGCTGGCAGTGAAATTCCCTGCCTTTAGGACACATTGCCCATAGGTGTTGGTCAATTGTTTATATAACAAAATGGGCAGCACTGGCCGCGACAAAAATGAAAAACAGAATCTATCTAAGATGGTCATATAAGCAAATAAATACTGTTAGCGTTTTAAAATCAATATTTAGTTAAGAATATGGTCAAATAAAGCTATATATAGAGAAGAGCAGCAAATGTGATTAGCCTGGTTAAATGGGAATTATAAAGCCAATGCAAGTTTTCCCACTATTATTGATTCGACGAATAAATGGCGAAACTGGCAGCACTGGCAGCGTCTATATGGATTATGTTCATGATTACATATGTACATATATATGCACATACATACACATATATGCACACACATACCGTTATTATGCTCTTGTTTTCATTTCGTTTTGCCAATATTTATGTCATAATATTGTTGTTGGTTTTATTAATTCACAATGCTGCGGACTTTGCACAATTATTTGTAATTTAGTGCCGACAAAAGCGGGGCTGCGGGGGGCAGGTGGGCAAGGGGCCAAGAGAGGGGGCATATTTGGCGTGCTCACGTTTTATGCCCAGTTTCAGTCGTCCAGTCGCCAGCTCGAATCCAATCAAGCTCAGCTCAGACTCAATAAGCGTTTCCATTTGTGTTTTTTATTTCGCTTTTAGCTTTTGTTGAACGTTTTTTTTTTCTTGTTTTGTTTTGTTTACGCGCCTGCGCAACGATATTTGCGCGGCTTTTCGCAATCGGGTTGCGAACTTTGCTAAGCTTCTGGCAAATTCTGTGCGGCCAATTGGGCAAGAATTGAAATTGGCTCGAATAGAAGAAGACAAAATGCGGGCGACAAAAGTCAATAAACTGTTTTAACCTGCATATTAACTGAAAACTAACAACAATTGCAGCACGCTAGGAAATTTGAAAAAAAAAATATGTAGAAAAATTCATTAAAATGCAACAAGCGCACCGCCAGCCTATGAAAATGCACAATAACAAATTTTCCGCCTTGTACAACAACAGCAGAAGCAGCAACAACAGCAACAACAACAACAGCACGCGAATGGCAAATAAATTGTGTTTAATGCTTTATTTTGTTGTTGCTTGCATTTTTTATGCTCTTTCTGTTGAAATTTATTTATTGAAGGCACGTAGCGTGCACAAAACTGCAAAAAAAAAACAAACAAACAACTGCAACAAATAAGCCAGCAACAACAACAAGAAAACCAACAACAACAACTGTCAGCCGACCACAATGCGCCCGCCCCCTTGCGGGTTTGTGTCTATGTTAACGACAACGACTTAAGCGAAAAAAAGTCAACGAACTTCTGACGCTGGCAGAAAAAAAGTCCCTTAAAATACCCTTATTAAAGTAAAGTTATCTACGATAAGTGTTGGGTAACGCCCTGCTGGGGAATTTCACATTTGCCACAAAAGTCAACAAACTTCTGACGCTGGCAAAAAAAAAGTCCCTTAAAATACCCTTATTAAAGTAACATTATTTACGATAAGTGTTAGCTAACGCCCTGATGGGGGATATTATATTAGCGACAAAAGTCAACGAACTTCTGACGCTGGTAGAAAAAACATAACGCTATCTACGATAAGTGTTGGGTAACGCCCTGCTGGGGAATTTTACATTATCTAAGAGATAATAAACTTTTAGCGGTGGCAGTAAAAAATCCCTTAAAATACCCTTATTAAGAGAACATGGCCTATGCCAAGTGTTGGGTAACGCCTTGTTGGTGAATTATGCGTTGCTTTTTAACACATTTTATATGCAAGTTTAATAAATATTATTAACCTTACCTCATTTTGCAGCTAGAGTATTTGAGCTTCTTCACAATCAAACTTCAGAGTCTGCTGCCTTGTTGTTTACAATGTTGTTGTTGATAGTGGGAAAAATACATGGCAATATAAACATGACGAATCCAATGTTGTTGTTGTTGTTGTTGTTGTTTTTGTTGTTGTTGTGACAGCTGATAGTGCAAATATGCATAATGCTGCGTAAATGGACACACACATTATTGGAAGTAATTTCCTGTATGCTTAAGTGGCCCTTAAACAAACAGATGGGCCTGCACCGTCACAAACTGCCTTTTTGTCTACCTGAAAAAAAAAATAAAGAAAAAGCCTCAAGCTATTGGAAATTTAAAACAAAATACAAATATACCTTTCGGCTTCCTGATAGAAACAAAAGTCGCCAAGCTACAGGAAGTTTCAAATATGTAGGGTATTTATCGTAGATAAGAACGCTTCAATTTAACGTTTGTCACATGCTCAAACTTATCTAACAACAGATAAAACTGTTGACTTTCATCAACTTTAGTTAGTGTTTAATTTAGCTTTAGCTACCAATTGCTAAACACAATATTATATAATTATTATAACTAACATACGCAATGTAAATATGTATATATATATATATAGATATAATCAATTTTTTTTTAATATATATATATATATATATATATATTAGTTTGTTTTTGTGGATTAGTAGAATCGTTTGATAGGCGTCCGGAGCTTAACTTTTTTCTCAACTATGATTCTTTACTTAGCGGTAGCAAAAAATATGTTTTACATTCTTAAGATCTTCGTATTTTGTTTGTTATTTCATATTACGCTTTTTCGCTTTGCAGTCTAGCTCTAAATTTTAACATTAGTTCATGGGTTTTTGTTAGCTTTTCACTTTAACGTCAACGTTTGCTATAATTTGTTTGGCTTGGATTCGAATTTGTTGGGCAAATAGACCTTCCACTTTTGTGTACACAGCTGGGATTGGGACAAAGAGACTGGATATAGAGTGAAAATAATAGAATAATAGAAAAATATTGTGCTCCAGCGGCGAGCAAAGCATATCAAAGCGAGGAAATGGCGCAGTCGTGGCTAGGATCTAATATTAGCAGGCAATGTCCGTGGTCACGCTCTTGATGCTCTCGGAGCTGAAGTGAACGCAACCGTATTTGCAGACGAGCGTCCAGACATATGGAATGAAGAACTCCTCGGGCGCATCCTCCTCAACATACTTAAACTTTAGATCCGGGAATTTCTGAAAGTAAAACATATGTTGTATGTTATATGGAACTGAAATCGTTCCGAGTTCCGGCTTACCCGCAGGCGATCGCTGGACCATTGACTGGCGCCCTTTGATATCACCTCGAGCACTTCGTTGACGCCCAGCTCGCCACGCTGCTCCTGCACACGCTGCAGGCGCGAGGAGAAGAAGCCAACCACCTGCAAAGTGTGTGTGATTAATGAGAAATTTCAAACGTATTACATGGCTTTTAGCTGGACGCACCATATCGATATTTTGTATGACATCTTGGAACGCATGATGACTGCGGAAGCCCTCGAAGACGCTGCGCTTGTAGAGCAGTGTATAAACCAAATTGGGACAGTAGACGAGCTGATTCGTAAGGCAGGAGTTTAAGATTTCCAGCACCATGCGCAGCACCTCCTCCAGCACACTCAAATCCTGCATCATATCCTCAGGCGTCGTCGCAACATTCACAAACACAACACTATCGGCCGGCTCCTTCAGCTGGGCATCCAAACGTGTATGCTTACGTGCCAGCGTCTCGAATAGCGATACCAAACGCTGTGCCACATACGGATGCAGGGCACGAAAATGGCCAGACATGTTGGCCAGCGCGGCCAGGCAATTGGTGTGCAAATACTTGTCGCGCATCTTCAGCATATTGTACTGAATCGTGCGTATGACGATCAGGATGAGAATACCGCCCAGCGATATCTCCGATATCGTGCGCTCCGTATACCAGCTGATGTTCTTCAGCAGCTGCAAATGGAACAGGGGCTTGCTTAAACAGAAGGACAAAGGGAGTCACGATTCCACTTACAATCGTGTGCACGTTCTTGTTGAAGCCCTCGTCCTCGCTGAGTATGAGCAGAACGATAAGCGACATGTAGATGTGATGTGAATTGCTGTCGGGCGCATTGTACAGCGTCTGCAGTATGGGTATGACCAGCTGCTCCAGATCCTGCTGTTGCATGACAAACCTGTAGAAGCGCTCGTTGCGATGCAGCAGCAAATAGAGCAGCAGCGTCGCCTGATCGATGGTCACAATGCGGCACAGGGTCTCGTACACGGCCGAGAAGTCAATTTGAAAGGAGACCGCGCCGCTGCCCTGCTTGGGCGAATCCTTCGAATCGGCGCAGCCAAACAGACTCGTGCGATAGGCATTGTCCTGGGCGGTACAGTGATTAGTCAATATCAGTATGAGCAGCAGACTCTGGTTAGCCAGGGGATAATGCGTCCGAAACTGCTGAGAGAGCTCCTCGCCGGTGGCGTTGCTCGTCTTGAGCACATCCTGTTGCTTGCGAAACGTGAAAATGGACAGCAGCGACTCGGCGATGCCAAAGACAAACGATCCAGCCGAACTGGAGCCAAACATGGTGTGCGGCACCTCCACCATGCGTGCCACAAAATGCAGCAGCGCCGACATCAGCACATTCGCGTGCTGGCATTTGTAAATGGTGCGAAAGACAATCGATTTATCTGTCGGCTGCTGCTGCTGCTGCTGCTGGGCAAACAGATGCACCGCCAGCAGCGTGATCAGCGTGTTGACAGACTCGAGATGCAGATGATAGGTAAACTCTTTGACGGGTATCACGACAATTAGATTGACCAGCGCATCGATAAACGTCTCGAACTTGGCGCCGTCCACAATCAGCGCTGCCAGCGGCGCCTGTTCCGTAGCCTCAATGGCAATGCTGGCCGCTGCCTCTTGCTGCTGTTGCTGCTCGGCGGCCTTTAGCAGCTCGGCGCTGGGCATGGCCTCGAAGTGCTGCAGCAGCTGAAACTCGGAGCCCGTCTCATTGATATACTTGATCAGGGTGCGTATGATGAAGAGCGCATTGAACGTTTGCCACACATGCATGTTGCTCTCCTGGTCCGAGAGCGACAACAGCTCCGAGGCTTTTTCCAGAAAAACGGTGATTAGCGAACCAAAATTGCCCGTCTTCAGATTATTGCCAATAAACGATTGACACAGTGTCTCCAGGCGCGAGTCCAAGCTCAGCTGATCCTGGCTGCAAAACAAACTCTTATGTTAGCCGCCAACCTGCTGACGTGTTGCCCCACCTACCTGTTCTCGGGCATTACGATATTGTAGTTGAGCAGCCCGTTCCAGAAGGCCTCGTCATCGTGGGCTATATGCTGTCGCCCCACAAACCGCTGAAGCCATTCATTCGACGCCAAGTCGGCATTTCTGCTGACGTTTATGCCCATCTTTTTGGTTCTTGCTCTGACTGCTCACTGCTGCTGCTGCTGCTGCTGCTGCTGCTGCTGCTGCTGCTCTCCTGTTAGCTCGTAGGTGTTTAGCGCATTTGATGCCACTCGCCAGGGCTCTGAGCCTTTTTTCAATTTACAAATAATAACAATTCTCCGTGTTGGCACTAGGCACGTCACCCATTTATTTGTATGTGCTGTGTTATTTTTTTTTTTCATATGTTTTTGATGTGCCACATACGCGTGCTTTGCAACACTGCGCACAGCGCTGCAAGTGCTGGCTGGTTCCGGCTCAGCAGCTGAGCAGCTGAACTTAGAGCAATTTTTTTGAATTATTTAGTAAAAAAGTTTTGTTATTTTTATATATAGTTTTGTGTTAAAGCTTTTATTTGTATATAATATATTTTAAAGTAATATTGCTATAAAATTAAGCGCATTTCACTGTAGTTCCTGCCCAAGAAACTAGTGCCAATGAACTAGTCACAAGCTGAACCGTTGCCGTTGACTTTACGCACTGTACAACACTGTTTGTTTTGTGTGACGTCAATTTTGCTCCGTTTAAGTTGATTTTGAAATTTTGAAAAACTTCGTTTTGCCCACAAATGTTTTGCGCTGTGGAAGATTGCGCAAACCCAAAATCGAAAAATCGCTACTTTCCATTTCCAAAAGATGCCAAGCTATGTGAAAAGTGGACGCTTTTCTGCCGGCGCACCGATACGATAAATACCAAGCTGGAGAAGATCTGTGTGAAGCACTTCCAGGCGGACGACTTTGAAAGAGATTTGCCCTACGAGCTGGGCGTATACAGCAAGCCACGCCCATTAAAACTAAAGCCGAACTCGGTGCCCAGCGTACATAACGAGCAGGAGGCGGAGTACCTAGAGATCGGTTACGTTGAGGAGCAGAAAGCGTTTAGCCATGGCCTAGAATTGAAGAAATCGCGCCAAGCAAGAACTGTGGCACAACGTAAACAAGTTGTGGATGCGCTTATAACGGAATATGATGAACTGCAGCATCAGCTGGAGCATGATGAGGAGGACGATCTGGAAGAGGAGGTTGTGCAGGTGGTGGTCGACGCCGAGGCCTATCTCACAGCTCTAGAGAGCGAAAAGTCTGTAGCGTAGATCTCTTGAAAGAAATCTCCATTAATTGTATTTCTTGCAGCACAAATCTGAGGCGTGAGAACTTTAAAATGAAGCTTGCCGCAGCAAAAGATGCGGCAACAATAGACAAGCTGCAAAAGCAACTGGACAAATGCAAGGAGCGCCATAACGAATTGCTGGACAATCTAAGTAGCACCTGCTCCAAGGCACAAATCCAGAAACTGCAAAGCGGCAAACGCGTTGTCTGCCCAAAGCGAAATCTGCGCGACTCCCGTCTGCTCTATGCAGCCAGTCCAAGTGCCTACCAAAGAAACTATTCCTTGCCCTCCAGGAGAACGCTGCAGCATTGGGAGGCCATGCAGCGTGTTCGGCAGCACAGCTGCAACGGCACGCCAGCTCAAATCGAGCAGCAGCTGCAACAGCAGAACACCTGCCAGCCAATACAAGTTGTAGACATAACGCATATGGATCATAACTATGTTAACAATACAATGGCAGAGCTTTAATTATGTGTGGCATTATTATAGTAGCATATTTATAAGTTAAACATTTGATTAGCGACCGTATTTATGTGCTTATGATTATGATTTATAATTAGTTAATGCGATTAAGAACCTTTGATTTTGATTAACTAAACACAAATTAAAATTTGTCAGTTGATTATAAGAAATAGTTTTTAGAAAACAATCCGTACATTTGATTTTGATAATAATGCATTTATTTAAAGAATATTAATTTGAACTAAAACTAAAAATTTATACTGTGCCGCACAAACGCAGACCATATATAATAAACTTGGCAATTGGACTATTCCCACGTATTCAATTGTTTTTCACTTAGTCGTTTCTCATTTAAAATTTAGAATTTGCATAACTAGGAATATAATTATATATATATATATATATATGTATATATTGCGACTTGTTAACACATACATATATACAGACTATATAAATAAGAACTAAAGGAGGCAAATGAGGATTGCATAGGAGGCCGCACAGCTGACACTTAGAACATCATCACGATCATCATCATCATCATCATCATTAGTAGATAATTAACTATCACAAGTTTTATTCAAATTTTTGTTAGCATTGCGCAACCGTTGCAAGCTTCTCTCTCTCTCTGTGTGTGTGTGTGTGTGTGTGTGCGAACAAGAAAATATATATATATATATATATATATACATACATATACTAATCGGTGCAACTCAAAAAATATATAATATATAATGTGTGACTGACTTCCAATGCATAATGTTTTTGCTCTATTTGGCCATGTCGCTGCCTTCTCTCCCCCCCCTCTCTCTCTTCACTCTGCGTGTGTGTTTTGTGTATGGCTGATGACTTAACTTAAAGAAATATACACTAAATATGAGCATGGGAACTGAGTTGGGTATGTGTAACGCCTCGGACGCTCAGGACATGGCCGCCTTGCAACTGATCTCTCTATCCGTGCTTCCGTACTTTGGCTTAGAGCTTGCGCAGCGCATTGTGTTTGTTGTGCTTCTTGGCCAGCAGCTGCTTCAGGCTGAACGAGGAGAGCGCAATGCCGAACAGGGCCAACATTGTGGCCGAACGGGTCACCACACGGTTCGGCGACGAGGAGCTGGTGGTGAACGCATGACTGCTGTGCGCCGTGGCCTGTGCGGAGAGCGGCGGTGCCTGCGCGCGATAGAGATAAAAACAAGGCAAACAAAGGCATTAGAACAAGTGCGATAAAAACGTTTTAAACTCTTATCATTTGCATAAGTTTCAACTTTTATTGTTTTTGTTTTTGTTTTGTCTATTTTTAACACAACAAACAAAACTCAGCCAAATTGGCCAATTGCCCAAATGTCTGCCGCCGGCTTCTGGTTTCTACTACGCAGCATTCAATTGCCGTTGGCAACAACGGGACATTTGTCTGATTAACCCCACAGCGAATCGTTGGCCACGTTCATTGAACTGATTAAGGCATTAATCGCTTGTAACACCTGTGCGACAATTCCAGCCCCCCCAGTAACGTCATTTATCCATGTACTCCACTCTATTTTACTAGTTTTTGTTGTTGCTGTTGCAATTAGCGCAGCTTTTGCATTCAATGAAAGACGCAAAAAGCTGGAAGCGCGTGGCTTGTGACGTCAGCAAGCACAGCACAGTGAGCGAAGGTTGCTTGAAACGGTGCTCAAAGCAATTGTTTAGCTTGCGGCTGGTCACACTGAGCGAACGCTGCGTAACAATGCACAATAAATTGTGCGAAAAAAATATATAGGTTAATATTTTATAGGGCTGGAAATTTCTTATAGCTTGTGTTAAAAGCAAAATACAATTGCTTAATTTTAATAAAAATTCAAGCTCAGTTTAGTAAAAAAAAAAAACTATGAATAAAAATTATGTATAGGTATAATACAAAATATATGCATGCAAAATTCTGTAATTCCATTTTTTTTTCTACTCTCTATTCGCATTGCCCACCTATCTTTTGACGTCTCTTATTTATAGATTTCGTAAGTGTTTTTAAGACTGTGTCAAGTGTTGAAAATGTGCGCGAATTCTTATTTTGTTGACTTTCCGGCCGACTTGGCACCACTGTGCGTTCATCTTTGGAACTTATCAGCGGCTCGTCGCGCTGCCATACTCAGCGAGCGCCGCACTTGGTTTGACCTGCTTTCCTTCTCTTTTGCTTTCTTGATTCGCAGCATTTCTGGGAGCGCTATCTGCAGATCTCCAAATCGAACATTGCTCAACATGCGCTGGACGCGTGCCGCGCATACATATATAAAGCAGTGACCGTCAAAATTCTCAATGTTTATAAATAAACGGAATTTGTTTGTAAATGGCGGATACATATGCAAATTTTTGGTGGGCGAATTTATTTCGAAAGACAACAAAAATTCCAAATTTGTTATTCTTTTTTCATTTTTTCGCTTTGCTCAATGAATTTGCTTTGCGTTTGCTTCCTGCTCCAGTTCCGGCTCCGTTTCCAGTTCCGATTCACTTTCTGTTTTGCTCCCCTTCTGCCTGCTGACCGCCTCGATGCGCTCCAGCGTCTGCTTCACATCTTGTATGCGCCAACGTGCGCCGCCAGAGGGCGCATTTTCGCGACGCTTGAGATTCCTGCCGCGTGGCGCACGCCTCGTTGCCAGCGTCATCGTTGATGGACGCTTCAGTGCGTCCAGAAACAGACTCGCGGTCTGTGTGGGCGTCGTTACAGCTGTGCTGGACGCAACCTGCGACAGTTGCTCCTGGTGTTTGCGCACCTGTGTGGAGGCCTTGCTCGGCGCCATTTGGAAGATGTTCCGCTTTGCAGTTGGACTCTTGGGTTTGGGCATGGACTGCGGTATGGAGATCGTGTAGACAATGTTGCCAGCTTTGGCACTCAGTTCAAAGGCTGGTTCGGTCTTGGAGCTGGCAGCTGGAGCAGGCGCATTCGGCGGCGAGCTTAGCAGTTCCGTTATGCAAACAGGTTCCGTTAGCAAATCAGGCATAGAATGTGCCGTTGTTGTTGTTGTTGCTTTTGTGGCTGCTGCAACAGGTGAAAGCTTATCACATTGCTCGAGATTGAAGGTGTTTCGACGACTATTGACCGCATTTGCACCGCAGAGCAGCTGCTGCGCACTTTGCCAGTGATTAGGCATGGAGAGAATATCCTCAATGCTGCAGTCATTGCTGGTCGCGTTTGGCATCAAATTGGAATCGCAGCTGTATGCGGCGGCATTCGGCTTGGTGTCACTTGTTTCCAAGTGTGTGGAATCATTGCCTGTTGCCAGCTGTTCGAGCAGCTGCTTAATGAATTCATCATCATCCACATGCGTGGACTGTGATTGCGTCTCGCCCTCCGCCACATCGGAGCAGGAGGAGGACGAGGAGGAGGTGGAGACGGCATCGTTGTGCGGCCAAAGGCAGTTGCGGGATTCACATTTAAGCAGCTGCTCCTCGAGATTCAGGTAAAAGTAGCGCAGCTTGTGATTCAAGCCCTGACTCAGGCATTCAACACACGCATCGCCCGCTTGCAGGCTGTTCATTGTGCGTGCGTGTGTGTGCGCGTGTGTGCTTGTATGTGTAGGTGTGCGAGGAAATATTCCGAACGTGTTTGGGAAATTTCTCTTATGCGTAATTTCCCCTTTGATTTGCATACATTTTTTTTTTTTTGGTATTTGCGAATAAATTGTTTTATGTGATATTTAGCGTATGCTCACCTGTCCGAAGGTTAAACGAAATGCGTACAATCCGATATTAGTTGTTTTCATGGTCCGTACAAGCAATTATTATCTGCAACATACATAAACAAAATTTCGGTTTTGAGCACAAGCCAGCTTACATAATACGAAATTGATTTTTCACTCTTTTTCTTTCTTTTTTTTTTTCTCTCTTTTAGTTTCTCTGCTTCATTGTGTTGGAAAATGTCAGTGTGAAAGTCGTCGACACTTGCTTATCGCTTACATTATATGTGTGAGTTAAATGAATGCGCTGCTCTCTATTCACGTCTCCTCTATTATGCAGTTCCGAGCGTTCTGCGTTCAGATTAATTAAATGTATTAATAAATAAAATGCAAATAATATGCTCTAGCGGGCATGCCACACCATCTGACAGGGCTGCTATGGAAAAGAACTAGTGCTGGCCTCGTGCACATGTGATACAACTAGTGAGGCACGAGTTGGCACGATGCAGCACGAATTGCATATCTAACTAGCAATTATCAGCATGAGAAATATGATTTGATTATCTTGATTACAAACTTAATTGATTGGTTTTTGCATGAAAATATTGTATTGTGTTTGTGATGTACAGGCAAAATTTGTGCACGAGCTCACCTCTAGCAAGAACCTGCCATTTTCCAGCATGCGTTTTCATTGCCAGATCAGGTAACGCTATCGTTTTGTTTACATTTTGTATTGCGATATGGCAAGGTCAATGACAAAGTAGTGTCGCATTTATATCGTACATTTTGTTCAGAGTAGTAGACTTTGCATGAATTATAACAAGCAAGTAAATTATTATAAATCAATGTTTCATATTTAGCATTCCACTTTTTCGAGCTGCTTTGTAAGCGTCATTAATTGACTTGTAGCAAAAACAAAAACTTAACGCGCTTACCAACACTTTCTTTTACAGTCGGTGACTCGCTGCAAAGCCATTTCATAATACAAGCGTGTGCGTGCGAGTTTTGCATTTTTACTAGTAAGAAATCAAAATGGTTCTTTCTGATGGTGCTAAGGAACGTCTAGGCGTTGTTGTGGATGTCATTCAGACCACATTCCACTGGGGATTTGTGCCAATGGTCCTTTATTTGGGTAAGTGTCTACAGCACGTGCGATAAGAAGAAGCAGCGCTGCAAATGTTATCTATTGATTTTATATGGACGCTCATGTTTTCTATATTTTTATAATATAGGATTCTCGAAAGGTGCAGAGCCTGGCATGCCGCCACTGTCGCTTTTAAGTCTCTTGTGGCAATAAATATTTCATAATGGAAAAAGCAACGGCAGCGTCCTCATCGTTAAATTAACAAAATGTTCTTGTTGACTGCTTGGCATTTTCACATACCTAGTACCTGTAAGAACAGCTGGCGGAAATAAATTTCTGTTATAACAATTTAAAAAAATGCTTCGTGATTCGAACAGTGATAATTGCTGTAAATATATTTAAATAAATTTCGAGACAAATATCCAAATTGAATATTGATATTAAATTTGTATGGTATCACTGGTTGCGCTGTAACCAGTGGCAGCGCCGTACAGTGCGTACTCAGTATTTTTTTCTTAGCAGAAATACAGTATTTTCGCTTTAAGTCGAAACGGTCACACTGCTCACATCGTTCGCAAAACTACTCGCACTCAGACGGGTTTTCCGCTGATTTCGTTCAACAAAAATTCATATATAACAAATAAATAATACAATTTAACGCAAACACATAACTGCACCATACAATTTAAAGTGCTGGCCACTAGTGTAAATAAGTTTCAGTTGCTAAACAAGCCGCTAAAGTGCCAAACTCACGTGATGAAAATACGGCTGAAAACTTCAACGTAAAAGTGGGAGGGGATACGAATTTTTCTAATTGGATTTGCAAGAAGTGTACGAATTTGTTCAGATCAATCGCGTTTAACTGTGTTTAATGTGTGCCAGGTGCAACAAGACAAAAATAAATAAATAATGCCAAATATTGCCAAATAAGAAACCAAATGGTGGCTGCTCGTTAAACGAATGCACAAACAAAATGTAAGCTCGCCGCGGTTGCAAGCAGAGCGCGAGGCCGACTTCGAGTCCCCCTTTTACCCACACACGCCCACCGCCCCCCTTCCCCCGTGTCCTATACAATAAATGCGCAATACAAAGCAAATTAGTTGCCGCCGTCTGCAGTCGACGTTGACTGCTGCGCTGCCGTCTCCTTTACATAGTTTTGTTTGTGTCGTCAACAAGGAGTGAAAAATAAGTTTGCTGCGGCTGCTCCACTGCCCCTCCCACCTCAGCACACCCGATCCCCACACAGACTTTGAGCTAGCGCGCGCTTGTGCGTGTGCTGTGTGTGTGTGTGTGTGTGTGTGTGTGCGCGCGGGGAAAACAAAAGAAAAGCACAAAAACGAAAACAATAACAAGCGCCAGGCGCACGGACAGCGCTGCGTTTATCAAATAAAGCAAATACAATACAAACAAAATGTGGACGCAGCTGCTCTGCCTGCTGGCGCTGCTCAACGCCAGCTGCGGTAAGTGCCAGGACACAACTCGTGTCTCATTTTTTGTTTTTTTTTATATTCGTTTTCGTTTATTTTGAAGGTGCGAAACTAACCTAAATTTATGTTTTCTCTGCCCTCTCGCTCTGCCTGCAGCTTCGCCCGTTGAGATTGTCGTACAACCAACTGAAGCTGGCCACAAATTGCTGCCAGCGGCGACAACAACAACAACAAATGAAACAGCTGGCGCTTATCTAACGAAATCGTCGCTGCCTTTTGCTGATAACAGCGGCCATGGCAACAACAACAACAGCAATAACAGCAACAACTCTGTGCCCATACAATTGCCCGCAACAGACGCTGCCTCAGGCTCTGCCGTCGCCGTCGCCGCCGCCGCCGCCGCTGCTGCTGCTGCCCCTCAGCAGAGAATGTCGGCGCCGACTTATCCGCCGCTGCAGAACAAGAAGCACGAGAGTAAGTCCAAAACGCAAAACAGAAGCAAGCCTCGCGTGACTTTAACACCTCGCAAGAGCAGCTCTACCAGCCCCTCCCCCTCCCCCTCCCCCTCCCCCTTCCCTGCTGTCTGTCTGTCTGTCTGTCTCTGACATGTCTCGCCTCTTGCCGTCTCGTGACGTCAGCGCGCGCTCCGTCGACTCTGTCAATGCGCTGCGGCTCAGACAAAGCTCTTCAAGTCGTCCCCTGCCCCCCCCCCCCCCCCCCCCCCCCCCCCCCCCCCCACTCCCCCCCCCACTTACTTGCATTGCAGTTCACCCACCCCCGCGCCAGCTCGTATTGCATATGCAACTGCTGCAGCTCGAAACTGGCGCGCAACGTCGACAGCGACGCCAGCGGCGACGTCGACTTCGTCTGGGTTCTTTATGCTTTCCGCTTTGCACTTGTCTTCTACTTCTTGTTGTTGTTGTGTGTGTGTGTTTTTTTATTATGCTAAATGCCTTTTGTTTTACTTGTTTTTTTTTTTTTTGTTTCCTTTATTATTTGTTTTTTTTTTCCTCTTGTAATCCGAGTCCGCCCACTTGAGGCGAAAAAGGTTGTGGGTGGGGGAGGGGGGGGGGGGGGTTTGTCTGCGATCGTTTAAGAAAATCAATACGAATTATGATTAATGCATCTTTAAATGGGGAGGGCTACCTGCGACTTGCTAATTGGCATCAAGCAGCGGTCAAAATGGGGTTTGAGTAGCGAATCTGGTTGGGATCGTGTCCTGGAATGCTAACTGGAAAGTTTTCGTATACCCTGCACACGTTTGGAGATGGCCAAACAAGGGTATATTGGTTTTGTGCAGTTGTATGTAACGGAGGAGGCCTCTTTGACGGTACAGAGAATATATATTCTCGTTCATGCGTCCTTATGTATTCGCCAGACGCTCTTTGAACCTGTAAGAACCATCGATCAATTGCTTCGTTTCCAAACAATCGATAGACATTGTTATCGAAATCATGTTTCTTGAGGATATCTCTTAGTTATTGAGTGTTAGATTCCACATATTCTATTTCCTGCTTATCCGTAATATAGTTGCGGTAAAGCTTGAGCTTTTGGTTTTGGGTAGAAGCAGAGGTTCAGGGTATTTACTCGTCGGTCATTCCCAAATAAAGCTCCCACTAATTTTTAATGGTATCTTATGTAGACATATTTTATATTATTTAGATAGATGGAGATGTTATAGATTCATTAATTTAAAAGTTTTAATTTCAATTCCTTTAAAAAGAAAAAGATTTCAAACATTCGCAGATAGAAACTCTTTACTTATAAGAACATCTATGTATTGCGCAATAGATTTTTAATACTGAAACATTGGAGTTTTCCACCCATTTAGGTGAAATGGAAGTGAAAATCCGTTGTATGCTTATTGCGAATTTGTTTATTAGATCCATATTTTGTTGGAGGTTTCCACCCGTTTGGGTGAAATGGAAGTGAAAATCGGTCTTATGCTTATTGCGAATTCGTTTAGTGGATGCATATTGCATATTATCGGTGGAGGTTTTCACCCTTTTAGGTGAAATGGAAGTGAAAATCGGTTTTATGCTTTCAGCGGATTTGTTAAGTAGATGCGTAATTTGATTGAGATCGATTCGTTTCACAAGTAAACTTTAAATTCTAAATACCCATTCATTCTGGTATTATGTGCTTTAAATATTTAAATCTTTTGCCCCACAGAAACGATCAAGTGCCATTGCGATATCTGCAAGGAGACGAATCACATATGCGAAACGGATGGATATTGTTTCACCTCCGTGGAAAAGGACACTGATGGCAAAATAATCTTCAGTTTTCGGTAAGTTTTTAGCTGCCATTTTTATGGGCATTGATCGAAACAACAACAAACGACAACAACAATGGAAAAACTGTTCATTTTGTGACCGTTGTCTGTGTCTGTTGCAAATCCCGTTGCGTAGCTGCCTCAACATGTCGCAGAGCTTCCCGCCGGGCCGTTTCATTTGGTGCAACGATGGCCGCCAAGGTGGGCCCACGGCACGTCCAGCCGCACGCCGGGGCGGTCATGCCTGTTGCAATGATCGTGACTTTTGCAATCGCCAACTGCGTCCGGTTATCAAGTACTATGCGCTGTCCACGGCCACGCCAGGTGCTGGTCCGGAGTCGGTGTCGCTGGCGCCGTCGGTTATCTACGAAGGTGCGCTATGCTGTGCACGTGTTTAACGCCCAACACCTCCAACCCCAAAACGCCCCCGTTCCATATTCACAATTGCTCTTCTAACTGAAAACAGAAAACAAAAAGAAAAACGCACGTCGTTCCAGTTGCTTTGTTCCCATTTTGTTGTTCCTTTGAACTAGTTCGTTCTCTTCTATATATGCTCGTGTTGAGTTCGACTTGAACGTGAACATAACCCAAAACAATATCAAATGCAGCGCACACTACTAAAACCCAGCAACAACAACAACAACAACAACAGCCAGCTTAGCTCCTGGCAACTAGAGTTATTTTTTTTTTTTTACTATTTTTGATTGCCACTAACCAGACTGAGTTCTAATTAGCAACTGGCCCAAAGACAGCGGCGACAACAACAAAAGCAACAAAAACAACAAAGCTGAAAACAAAAAAAAAATATTACTAATTCGTTTTCTTTCTCTTTCTCTGTTTCGCTTATTGTCTTTCACCCGACCGCTCGTGTACACCCGACGAAAACAATCAAATCAATTTACTAAAAAATACCAAAAAAAAAATAAATAAAAAAAAATACGCTACGCGCGCGCTCTGCATTGTCTCTCGCTGTTTCCACTCGCTCGCCCGCCTGGCCAATGCTCTTTGCCTCGCTCAATCTCCCTCTCTCTCTCTCTCTCTCTCTCTCTCTCTCTCTCTCTCTCTCTTACTATCTGTTTAAAACGCAACATACTTACCAAATAACTGTATATTGGTCTACCATTGCTGTACAGTTGCCTCGATAAGCGCTACGAGCTGTATCGTGAGCCGCTGGAATGCCTCTCAAGTCGCAGTAAACAAGATACGTTTAAAATTAGCTGTTGTAATAAGGATTTCTGCAATAAAGAAGAGCTTATGAAAAGGATATTTGAAACAGGTACAGCAAACAGATAAAAAAAAAAAATAACAAAAAAAGAAACCAAATATAAATAACAAATACAGACGAAAAAAAAAAAACAACTATAGGAAACCAAACAATAAACTACTTATTTTCTCGCTCTCTCTATCTCTCTCACTCTGTCTTTATAAAAAGCTTTTTGGTTTGCACTTCTTTTGTACTCTGCGCTAATTTTGCACTGCAACAACAACAACAACAACAACAAAATAAACACACTCTCTTCTCTTTTTTTTTTTTTTGTATGCACTACAATAATAATAGTAATTATAATATTAATAATTTTATTTCGATTTGCACAAGAATTTAGTAGGCGCCTTATAATTGACCATAAATTCGTATTTATTTCGGTATATTTACTT